CCGGTGGTTATGGATACGGGTCATCTGGCAACGCACAAGGAGGGCACAACGCGAGGGGAAGAGGGCGGGGGCGGGGGCGAGGGAGGGGGCGAGATGGACAGTATTGAAGGACGTTGATCGCGATGGTTTACTGTAGCCTGTAGTCTGCTTTATAATTTATGACAGCGATGCACTTATGTATTGCTTGTCGTATGTCCGTTGATCGAGGCAATTAATATCGCAGTGCTGCACGTGCGCTACGGAGGCCACATGCTTATGTCAGATCCCCATCCCCATCCCGCCCCGGCGACGAATGGGTTCGGCATGCGGCACTGCCTCTCAGAAATCCATATCCTCTCCTCGCCTCTCCGTATATGTAATCTCTTTCTCTCTTCCGCCCTCCATCACGCCCTCATCACGACCTCTCTCAGACTTTCCAGACTGCGTCTCTCTGTGGCCATGGCTGCCAGTACTGCATCTATACCTGCGAATATCCTGCCACTGCCCCCAGCCCGGGAGATCCCATCGACGCTTGTATCAAGCCTGAAGAGTTGGTGAGTGCTGGTTGTATCAATCCCGCACAGCTTTAGCTTACGGTGCTATCAGGTGGGCTGCGGGAGAAAAAGAAAGTGCCGCCGCCGAGGAGCGTCTGCTGAGGTGCGTTCAGACCACTCGCCCGATGTGGCCCACTGCTCACATCCATTCAGGAAGTTGCCTTTCTTCAGACCCGCAGGCTCTCCACCCCAAAGCCCAGATGACAAGACACCGGTCGTCGCCCAAAGCAAGCGCGTGGAGCTCGACAACCCTAAGCACTATCTGAACACCCTCGCAATGACGCCCATCTCTCCATTGAAGCCACACAATCATCCTCCAGCCGTTCTCCTCCATGGATATGGTGCAGGGCTCGGTTTTTTCTACCAGAATCTTTTCGCATTGGGCAACTGGGCTGGTCGCTCTGGTACGCCCGTGTATGCGGTTGACTGGCTGGGTATGGGTCGTTCTGCCCGTGTACCGTTCTCGATAAAGGCGAAACGCAATGACATAGACGGCCGCGTGAAGGAGGCTGAGGGGTTCTTTGTCGACTCTCTTGAACAATGGCGGCAACACATGGGGCTCGAGCGCATAACTCTTATCGGTCACTCCCTTGGAGGCTACCTGAGCGTTGCCTATGCGCTGAAGTATCCCACGCGCGTGAGCAAGATCATCCTGCTCTCCCCTGCGGGTGTTCCGCGGGACCCAAACAGCACTGTCTACTCGCGCGAGGTCACCGACGAGCAGGACACGAGCGCATTGAGCGCAGACCATGCAGAGCGTGCGACGCAGCGGCGCATTGAGCGGCTGAAGACTGGCCAGCTGGAGGCGCAGAGGAAAGAGAGCCGCTCTCGGAGGTTGCTCACGTATCTCTGGGAGGAGGGATGGAGTCCGTTCCAGGTAGTGAGGTCGTCGTTGTTTTTCAGTCCTATGTTGGTCGGCAAATATTCCAGTCGACGTTTCATTGGTCTGAATGAAGAAGACACGAGAGCCCTGCATGACTATATCGTCAATCTGGTTCTAGCGAAGGGCTCGGGAGAGTATTGCGTTTGTGAGCAGCTGCCGGTGTCATGCTTTTGGGACATACTGATTGACGAACGACTTAGCACATTTGCTTGCACCGGGTGCACACGCACGAAGACCTCTCGTAGACCGCATAGCTGCCCTCAAGATCCCAATCACCTTTGTCTGTGAGTGTCATGCGTATGTGCTTCGTCATGGATGGAGTCTGATGCTTGCTCTTAGATGGCGATAGCGACTGGATGGATCCGGAGGGCGGTGCACAGGCCGTAGAGAACCTGCGTCAAGCAGGCAACGGCGACGGAAAGATGTACATCGTTCCGCACGCCGGCCATCATGGTGAGCCTTTTTAGATTTCATCATATGAGGTGGATGCTCAACGAGAACGACAGTGTACCTAGATAACCCGAAGGCCGTCAACGATCTCCTCGTCAAGGAACTAGATCGTCACCAGGACAGGCCGCAAGTGTAGCCTGCCTATGTGGCCAGTATCATTTTCTCGTGGGTTAGGACTTCGGAGATAATGTGGACCTTGGAACGCCATTCTTGTTATAGATCACTATATAGATCGTCATCTTTCTGTACATCTCTTATAATCTGCATGTCTACTGTCTTCGTCGTATTAGGCTCACTGGTAGTTTTCAGTGAGGTTATCGAACGCGAAGAAAGCGCGTCATTCTCTCTTTGTCGATCCACGATCATCCAGCATTGACCTGGCTGAGAGTCGTTGACACGCTCCTGCCTCATGTCGCTCGCTGGGTTCATAACTTCTCACAGTTGTGATGGCGGAGTGATGGCAGCAGCTTTGTCCTTTGTACACCGTAGAGGACGGCACCAGCCGTGCTTCCTCCGTCTCGGACCATCTCCTAGTCGCAGAAGGGCATCATCACCTCTGTCCTAATTTCCTGACGGACTACCTGCGCTCATCGAGCCCTGATTATGAATTGATAAAGACTATCATTGACTAGAAGATCTGTGTCATCGCCTAGCATGGTGAAATCAAAGAAAAGAGGCCCTCCGTACGAAGACGACCCGGGTTGCAAGTTCATCGTCATCGAGGATCCGTGGCCAGGAAATGCGATAGGCAAGGCTCGCACTCCGAGATACTTCAACTACCTCGGCGCATGGGTCTTCTACATGTTGGACAAGAAGGTGGATGCAGAGGCGATCTACTCGGTGAACACCGTACGTACTGCCATATCCAACACTATGGAAGTGTATTCAGTTAGCGACACGATCTCAGCGCACCGAGGTCATCGTGAAACTCCCAGAAGACGTCGACATCGCGCCTCTCCTCGGCGCGCACAAATGGCGAGAGTTCCTCAAAGTCGAAAATCCCGCCGACAAAAACCGCGTCTCCCACGTGTTTGAGTACAATTACAGGAGCAAGGGGGACCCAGTTAACCGTAGGTAGTCACAACCAGGTGTCTGCGGATGCGCTGGTGGTGCATGTTGTAGAGCTGACGGATGGCCCCGCACAGATCAGTGGCTCGAGATCGTACCCCTTGGAGGAGATCCACCTCCGCACGTTCATTTCCCGGTAAAGTTACCGTACCCACGGGTACATTGGGCTTCGCTAGCGGACAGGAGATGTGCAGACTTGTCTCTTCCGCTGCCCAAGACTCGGCAACGCACGCCGCCAGTACGTGTCGCACTGCTAAGTGATCTCTACTGCTTTGTTCACGTTGTGTTGGTTTAGAGTGTATTCAAGCCATATGAGCGACCTGCACATTTGGAGAATGCTCAAACTGCGCAGTTGGCAGAGGAGGAGTCAAGGAATGCTGCAGAGCATAGTCATGATAGTGATGGCGACGATGACGGCGACGATAACGAAGAGGAGCGAGAGGTCGGGTCAGAGCAGGTGCACGAGATGCCAGTGCAAGGTCGGTGGACATGTTATGGTGTGGATTGCTTGCATTCAGCATATGTGCACCTCTAGGCCGACTCAAACTTGGCAAACACGATCCATATGAAGAAGGTACCATCTTGCAGTGAACTTGCGCATAAAATGTCTGAATTTGAACCAGAGGATGCGGCAATGATGTTCGTCAAGCAGGAGCCGTCGGAAGACTCCATTCCATTTGCAGAAGAGCTCCGTGATACCCGCGTGAAAATGGAGGCGCCTGAAGTGACGGTGAAAAGAGAAAAATCCCCCGTGCCAGGTCGGTGCATATCGAGCTCATCACAGATGCGTGACTCACCATTGACCGTCTCCAGCGGAAAAGCAGCCATCGGCGGCATTCATAGCGATGTTCGAAAGATCGCAGCGCCTTGCCGCTGAATGTAAGTAGACACGTTCACTGACTTAGGTGACGTAAGCTGATTCATGAACAGCAGCGCAGAGTGTCACGGTTGCTCCACAACCTCTGCTAACTCTGCGTGAGTCTGCGACAGAGCGCATTTTGCTGATTATATGAAATGCTAACGCGCAGCTCGGGAAGCGGCGACGCGGCCTGTCCCTATGACAGAGATACCGCACAACACTCCGATATTGGGTCAGCTAGCAGTCATACCTATAAGATGCATCGCGATGCTGAATCGTTATTGCGCATGCAGATGTACGCGTCAAACCGGAGCTTCAAGAACATAGCCTCCCTCCCGAGGTGCTATCTCGAGCCTCAACGTCAACGACAACGGATCCCAGACCGCGTGGACAGTCCTCAGTACCGAGAAAAGGTACATGAATAATCTCAAATGATTGTCTTCACTCTGTTGACGAAAATGCTGCAGAATATATGCTCCCGGTGAAACCAGAGCCTCTGGAGCATGCGCTACCTCCGCCTCCTTCCCGTATGTTCCACGTTGTTCCCACAAAGTCTGTTTTTACACATTACTTGTATGCAGGGCCTCCAACTGGGAGCAGCATACAGCAGAGAAATCAAGGTATGTACCAATGCCGTCAACGTAGCTCAACGAAGTTGTGTTAATCATTGCGTTGATTTGCAGTGCGGGGTGAACAAATGTCGAGCTGTAAGTCCCGTAAACATTGATCTGCATGATTCGTTCTCTTACATTCATGGCTAGTGCCATCGTTTAAGCGGATTAAGAGAGAGGAAGATGGTAAGTCTGCGAAGGACTACCGATCCGGTCAGGCATTGACTTTTGTGCAGACACAGGACCCAAAAAGAGAATCAAGCAAGGATCTCATTATTAGCGGAGGCAGGAGCATTTCGGACGTGGCCGTCGCGGCTTCTCATGGGGGTCGTTCATTACTAGCTTCAAATTGTCGACTGTCGCATTATTCTTTCGCATGATTATAAAGTACAGTTGTTACTACATCTACATTCCATTTCATCATAGTCAACGCTGTAATGGAAGTGGCGGAAGCAATCCATTGGTCACAAAACAAAACAAAAATATCTCTCATTCCATTTGTTACTTTCTGCCGGCCGCCAAAAGACGACCGACAGATAAGTATCAAAAAGAAAGAGAAGATCCACCAACGCCAGTACTCCATTAATCACAATTTGAACCAAGATTCTCCCTCAGTCCATTTGCTACCTCTTGAAGACCGTCAACTGACGGACCGCATAAGAAGCAACAAAGAGAAAGAGAAGATCCCCCGACGACACAAGCCGGTACTGCAGTGGCAAGGTCATCGCGCCCCCAGGTTGCAAGCAGAGCCCGGAGGACAAGGGCGGCAAAAATTAGATAACCAATAATGGAGGCGGTGCCTCCATAATAGTGGTTAAACTATTAAGAACAGATACTACACTTGATCTAAGCCAAAAGGCCAGAGTGGTAAGGAATCAGCCTGTCGGAGGTTCGTATATATGCTGTCGCTCGGCGCGCGCACGGACCAGCACAGTTTAGGGTAGCCCCGCCTAAGCGCTAAGGCGCGTTGTGACCACTAATCGCGCACCGACGGCTTTGCTGTAGCATGTGCATATCATAGATTATGCAGTACATTCTGAATTATACATCGGTAGCTACGGCTATCGAATGTTTTTATTCGCAACTGCTCACATCTTCCTGAGCACTTCCGCGAGCACCTCGTGGGTCTTGCTCTTTCCACCCAGGTCGGGCGTCAGCACTTGTTCCTCGCGGATGACCTCGTTGACGGCGTTGTCGATTCTGTCCGCGCCCTTACCATAGCCCATGTGTCGCAACATGAGCGCGGCAGAACGGATCGCCGCAAGCGGGTTAGCAATCTCGCGACCCGCGATATCGGGCGCCGAGCCGTGCACACTATGGAGCATATGGATAGTAAGCTCAAGGAAGGAAACGCTTCCAGGAATGACGTACGGCTCGCCCATGACGAAGTCGTCGCCAGCATTTATCGAAGGCACCAGTCCCAATGAGCCGACGAGCGCTGCTGCGGCATCTCTGCAATCTATTGTTAGTTAGGAGGCAGAATGCAGAGAGTGGCAACGCACGAGAGAATGTCGCCGTAAAGGTTCGGCGCCACCATAACATCATAGATCCTAGCGCAAATGCATGCGTCACATACTGCGAGCATCTCGACAAGTTAGACTGACTGAGGTTCCCGAATCAGCCTGCACAGAATATCAAAAAAAGTCAAGACGGAACCACATTAAATGAGTATGCGAAAGTCAAACGTACCGATAGACTGCGCTGTCTACAATCTGCTCCTCGAGGGTGATACTATCAAAGCGACCGTCCTCTTCCAACCGCTTTACGCTGTGAATGGACTCCCTGAAGAGGCCGTCCGTGACAGAGAGAACATTGGACTTGTGGATGATGGTGACTAGCTAAATCGACGAGTAGCACTCTTAGTATTTAGGAAATGTGCAACAGCTTGCATCGCGGGATTCACCTTGCGAGGCCTCTTGAGAGCGATCTCGAACGCCATCTTGCCGATGCGGCGCGAGGCACGTTCTGTGATAAGACGCGTCGCGCGTGCTTCTCTCCCATGTTCGGTGCGTGTCATAGTCTCATGCTTAATGTACTGTGCATTGTATGGAAGACGGGTCACGGACGGAGGGTTCGTCATGCAAGCGGAAGACTATACCAAGCACTCCGTGTTCTCTCGGACGACAACTAGATCGATGTTCGGCTTCGCAGAGGGATCTTTGGGAACCTAAGGCATACCTTTAACATGCAAGAAGTAGAAAGAAAGAGGTAACACGTACGGATACTACCGGTCGCACATTGGCATAGAGGTCGAGCTTCTTACGCAGTCCGACAATGGGAGACGAGTAGCCAGTGACCTTCTTAATGGGAGAGCTGCAATAAGGTGAAATTAATACATATTTCAAAAAATTGCAACAGCAAACGACGTACCTGACCGCACCGAATAGAGCGCAGTCGCATTCCTTGAGGGCTCTGGGGGACGTTCACAGGACCTCAGCGGTACAATCCTGCGTGAAACGTACTCAACAGTGTCCTCCGGCAGCGCTTCTCCCGACGTCGCGAACAGCTCAAAGCCTGCCTCCAGGTCTACGAACTCGAGCTTTGGAATGTCGGATCCAAGCGCCTCGAGGGTTGCCCGCGCTGCCGGAATGACCTCCCTGCCGATCCCGTCTGCGGGGATGAGACCGATCTTGAGCTTCTGCCGGGCAACGCTCGACATCATGCGCAAGGGAGCGCGGAACGCCATCTTTGCGACGGAATGTATGTGAGACCAAGATGAACGATTTACACCCAAGGTTTGCGGAGACTTTCGACCCGAGGGACCGACGCGCCCAATCACTTTGCTTTGACGCAAGTTTTGGCATCACGTGGTCGTCGCGTCACGTCCGGCGCCAATCCTTCTTGCGCGCGCGAATCGCATCTTGCTCTGATCGTATTTTTTCCAGCACTGGCATGAAGTATAGTGCCTAGCTGTCACTGCATTACTCTCTGCTTGCCAGCATTGCACTTATAGTTCATGACGCCCACGCCCCGTCTATCCGAGCATTGTCATCAGAATCAAGCAATTAGCTGTCTCGGCAGACTGCAGGTCACGAATGCTATGTGTTTTTAATAGGCTTACGGGTTCGTATCTTCCGGAGCGTCCAAGAACCAAATTTACGCCAATGTTCGTAGAGCTTATCCGCTTCCTTCGGATGGCTCTTCCCGGCGTGGTAGAGCCGTCTATGTATGCATGCAAAGATGCACGCCGAAGCCCACAGTCTGTGACTTCATCGGCGGTGGCCTGTCTACATTTCATTTGATGGCTCAATAGAGTGGCATAGCACTTGCAGAGAAGAGACCGGAGGTGGCATGTCTAGTGCGTAATTCTCCATGAAACGTTTGACATTATGATCTCTGTTTATAGGTGTCTGTCAGACAATACCGTACGGTGCTGTATCATGGCCAATGCGACATGTGCAGTTGGTTCCGCCGTCATTGCAGGCGATGTTCTCTCATCCCCGTAGAGCTTGCCAGTAAATGTCTTTTTGCGTCTTGAGGTGAGTGAAATCCTTCTCGTCGGGAAATTTAAATGATACTACTGCATTTCAAGCGGCCACGTAAGCTCTGCTCTATAGAATATGCTGTAGAGACCGTTCAATGAATGTTGAGACCTGTCTCCACAATGTCGAATAATATATCAACAACATTTGCTCGTTAGATCCCAACATCCCATGCCTCATCTGGCAACACCATAGCGATCAACAATTGAGCGGATCAAGCGAAGAGAGGGATTCGTTGTCAGCCTCCCGTCACACCATGGCTGGCCACCCTGTCAGAGATACTACGACTTATGCTATCAACAGCCTTATGTTTCGAGTTGAAGTTGGCCGCAGCAGTGAGCAAGGCCTTTAATGCGCGGTAGTACATGGAAGTTGTCTCTCTGACGTGCGAACTTCTTTCTCTTCCCAGTCGTTGATGTGGGCTTCGGTGAAGCAGTGTCTGAGTCGGTGGCCAACAAACGCTCGTCACGATCACGTGCAGAGTCCTCAGCGCGACCCATCAGCGCCTATTCCATCTGCGAAACCTCCACCCGCTATGCTCCTCACGTCGAACTCTTCCTCGCAACCTGTTCTTGTCAATCGCACTAACCTTCAAGCTCAGAAAGGAAGTTCAGGATGCTCAGTGTCCCAGCTCTTGAACCCACCTGCAGACCGCAAGAGGCCCTCGATAGATTTAGATGGTCGCCAGAAGAAGCGCGTGAAAGTTGCCCTGAAGACGCGTGAAAATGACATCGCCTCCCAAGAATGTGAAAGCGATGATGATATTGTGGACGACTCTGTTGTGAGGGATAGAGCACGTAAACGGACCGCGTTCGCTTTGAGAGACTCTGCCATGATGGCAGCTGCTGGATTCAGGAGACTTCCTTCCTGTGGGTTCTACCATTATCCTGTTACTAGAGCATCGAGATTGACCTTCAATGAAAGTTTCGACGCGTCCAATACTTGAGACCTTTGTCTCCTCTTCTAAGACGGACCTTTATAGGTTCCATCCTGATGACGCGCGGTCATTCATGACCATACCATACTGCTTGTCTTACACTCACGGTATGTATTCATAGCCATCTTCTACCAATTGTATATCAAATCTCAACAATTGCTCCTGTCAGAGGCAAAGCGCGGCGGGAAGTCGTTGCTGGCGGTCGCCACAGATCAAGGTTCAGTACACGTCGTAAACACCAGCAAGCGACAAAACTGGAATTGTGGCACGTCGTAACGTCTCTGATTTGAATTCATATTCACACATCAATTCTAGAACCTCAACGCGAGAGTTTCATCTCGCATGCGAACGGCATTTTCGATGTCCAATGGTCTCCCTCTGATACGCTTCTGGCCACTGCATCTGGTGACCAAACCGTTGGTATCTCGACGCTAGAGTCGTCGGTGTCGCCTGAAAATAGGATAGTACGTGTTCTTGAAGGCCACTCCAGCACTGTCAAATGTGTGGCATGGGAACCATCGAGGGACGGGGACATCTTGTGCAGTGGGAGTCGGGATGGCACCATCCATGTGTGGGATCTGAGGACAGAATGCCGTGCCGGCTCCGATGGGCGATCGGGAGCAGCCATCATGGTGTTGGGAGCGCATGAACCTGAAGGCCAGCAACCCAAGAGAAGAATAGGCAAGTCAATACATACCCCGCGGAGCGTGACGGGTATTGCATACACAGAGGGTGACCCTTACCGGTTGATCAGCAGCGGATCTTGCGATGGGTACGTCGTCTTCAGTTATTATAGGTGCGTTTTTATTTGATATGTGAGCATGTAGAATCCTTCGACAATGGGACTTGCGTCAAGCACGCGGCAAAGAGCTGCAGTACGATGGACCGACGACAACACCTCTGTGCATGTCGTCGTTAGACCCAACAACTCTGCAGGGCACGCGCCGTCCTCGAGGAATCACCTCCATTGTGCCAGGGCGCGGACCCACCGCCGGACTGCTCTTTGCACTTGGCAGGGACTCCCGCATACACACCTACTCCCTGCCGTCTCTCGACCCTCTGTCCGGCTACGTGGAAGCGCAGGATCCCTGGACATATACCCACCCGGACATGCAAACGAACTCATTCTATGTACACCTCGCCCTGTCACCGTGCGGACGATGGCTCGCAAACGGAAACGCGTGCGACGGACGTGTCTTCTTGTTCGACGTTAGTAACGCTGCGTCGTCAAGACACGCGCGAAGCGGCGGCGCCCCGCCAGCGGTGCAGCTACGCGGGCATGTTCGAGAAGCGGGCTCGCTGGACTGGGCAGATGGCATGCTGGCGACCTCTTCGGAAGATACCACTGTTAGAGTGTGGAGGCCGAACATGGAAGTTTCTCGAAGGTGCCATGATGATAATGAGGAGATGGAATGGGAATGGAGTTGGGCGACGAACTAAGTAGATCGGACCCGGACTATTAAGCGTATATCTCAACCCTATTTCAACAGATGTATCGTATCCACCAGCCTTAATTCCCGCTCATTATGCCCGAGAGTCGCTGTTTGTTCAACATGAGATAGATGGCATTAGTAGCTGTACAACGGGTATGAATATGCAATAGATAATGTCCACGCAGAGCCCAGCAATAGCAAGAGACGACTAAGGTATGTTGCAAGTTCGGCGTATAGCCTATTTCTTTTGAATTGCATTGACCAGCCTAAAGTCCGTATCGTCATGAGCGGCGCTGATGCAGGCCTGCGATGATCACAATGATAGGGTAGATTCACGCACCAGTCCAGACCTTCTTCGAGACCCTCGCCTTTCAGCGCGCAACTTCCACGCACGCTCCATTGGCGCTCTTTCTCCCCTCCTGCGAGTCCCAGCTGTTCGCTAATCTCCTCAGGCTTCAGCGCACCCTCAACGTCCTGCTTGTTGCAGAAGACCAGCAATGGCACGCCAGCAAGCTCTTCCTCAGATAGCATAGTGAGCAGTTCCGACCGTGATATGGACAGTCGCGCAGTGTCAGAGGAATCGATGACATAAATGATCGCAGCAGTATTGGGGAAGTAACACCGCCAGTATGGTCTGCGTATATGAGCGTGGATGCAGGAAGCATACAGGTAATACATACCGGATACTTGACTGGCCCCCGAGATCCCACACTTGGAACTTGATATTCTTATACTGTCCAGCTAGTCAGCAAAATAGACTCATCGACAATTCTGTTCAACCAACTTCTACTGTCTCCACGTTGAAGCCGATGGCTATGTGACATGGCTTGTCAGCCGACGCACCACCGAGAGCGGGCTGACCTACTAGGGATGGTGGACACTACTTCTCCGATCTAGCACCGCAGCTGAATATTGGTAGATCATTGACACACGATTTGACAAGCATTCACCTGTAGTCTGTAAAGGATGGTTGTCTGTCAGAACATGGATCGGTCAATGTCCGTTCTGCCGCTACAGCATTTCGACGCGCACCTTGCCCGCGGAGTCAAGGCCAAGCATCAGTATCCGGACATCCTTCTCTTTACTCCAGTGCACGAGCGAGGAGAGTGAAGTGAATAGCGACGATAATGAGAGACCCATGGTGGACGTGGAGGGTGCAGGTTGGCAAGAGAGCCGTTCCCGCAAACGTGCAGCTGCAATAAGCAGGCCGATCACCACCTGGCTTACGTACGAGAACCGCCCATAAATAACCTCGCTGTTACCGCTCGCCTGGCTCGGCTACGATTTCTCCTGCAAACTCACCCTAGCATCCTTTCCATCATGTCTGTCGATGCTATGGCCGTAAATGACGGCTCTCACACGAAAGACATGCGAAAATCCCTAAAGTCTAAGGAGAAACACGACTCTGGAGCGGGTGAACGCAACAAGTCGTCCAGGAAGAAAGCAAAGCTCGCAGAGGCCGGTTCAGAAGCAACGGACAGAAATCTTGCGCAGGCGGCGGAGCACATCAAGGACAAGAAGCGGAAGAAGAAAGATGTTAAAAGCGCAGCTGAGGTCGCTGCGCAATTTGTGGCTGAGGATTCTGTAAAGATAGATGGAAAGCCGAGGAAGAACAAGAGAAGCGATCGAAATCAAGCAGAACAATCCGTCGCAGAGGAAGGTGCTGCGCGTGATGCTGTAACGTTAATAGACAAGAAGCGGAAGAAAAAGAGCAGAAAGCAGCAGGACAGTGTCGATGATGTGCCTCAGCTACTAACGGATGACGATAAGAACGTTGGAGATGCGGATGGGCAGGTAACTGCGCAGGACAGATCAGAGGACGCGGTAGACGCGAAGAAGACGCGTAAAGAGAAACGCAAACACAAGAAGGACGCGTCGGAGGGAGCCCAGGAGACGGTGGAAGCCGAAGGAAAGCCTATGGCTAAGGAGAAACGCAAGCACAAGAAGGACGCGTCGGAGGGAGCCCAGCAGACACAGCAGGCCGAGGAAGAGCCTGTGGCTCAAGAGAAGCACCAGAGGAGGAAACGGAAGAGAGACACGGACGTACAGGAAGATGGTAGCACCACGAAGGAGCACAAGAAAAAGAAACGAAAACAGGACCCGAACAATGATGAGTCCCTGAGCGAACAGGCCCGCAAGGGTATGCTCTTCTATACCTTTTGAAATGTATCCTCGCTCACTGCTGATCCTATATTATAGCACTGCACTACGCGTTCACGCAATTCGACGATCCTGTGAGCTGGAAGTTCAATAAGGCGCGCCAGAATTGGCTCATCCGGAATGTATGGTCTGCACGCGCGGTGAGTGCACGGTGTTCTTCCGGTCCGTCGCGTCGTGCTAACGGGGATCCTGTTGCTATAGATAACAGACGAATACATGACGTTGTTGCAGCGATACCTAGCTAATATGAAAGGAGGAGCACGAGATGTGAGTGCTCGACAGGTTGCGGGTAGTCACAGCATGCTGATACTTCGTCCAGGCACTCATAAAGAGTTGTCGAGACATGCTGGAAGATCAGCCGACCTCGGATGTTGCTGTAGGTTCTACAGAGCAAGCTGCTGCGAAACCTTCTGACGTGGAGCCGTCAAATCCTACTGGAGACATTGAGATAAAACGATCCCGCGCATCGGCCCTGCTCGCAGTTCTTGTTCATGAACAATCCTCATAGCATATCCCCGATTTTTACGCTTACACATCGCACATGTACACCAGCAATGCCGTCGCCATGACCCATGAACGACGACAGAATTTCTTATTTCAAGTCAACACCAACGCAGTACATGCAAAGTACAAGACAATTTCAACTGCACGTAGGCGCCGACAAAAATTCCACAGCTAGTCCAGATCAAGTGACAAAAGAGTGTTTACGAGCGGTTCAGGCAGCGACCGCCACCGGGGTAGGCACATGCAGAGCATCAGCCTGCAGGGCCAACTCAGCGACGTCGACCTGCACCTTCATCGCAGTCGATTTCTCAACCATAGGACCCAGGAGGTTGTTGAACTTGTCACGAGTGACCTTGACGGCGCGAGCATCCACAATTCTCTGTTGGCCTGTGTGCAAGACCTTCGGCGCAGTGCCATCGACCAGACCAAGGTGCTCGTCCGTCCAAATCGGCTGCACCGGTTTCGCGTCGGGCATGCCTACATTTGCACGGCCGCCCTCAGCCTTCCACTGCGACGTGCGCTTGATGCCGAGCTCCGTGAAAGTCTGGTCCACCGCACGCGCGAGGCGAGCAATCTGTTCGATGTTGTGTCCGGGCGTGACCGTGAATCGCAGGCGTTCCTCACCACGCGCAACCGTCGGATAATTGATCGCCTGGACGTACACGTTGTGCTTCGCAAGGAGCGTGTCGGACGCGAGCCTTGCGAGGGCGGGATCGCCGATGAGGATAGGGATGATGTGCGAGGGACCGGGGACAACAGGGATATCGAGCGCTTCCATGCGGGACTTGACCTCACGAACGTTGAGTTGCATGAGCTGGCGGTCGCCGAGGTACTCCCGCTGGTACGAGATGCTGGCGCGCGCGCCTGCCATGTTCGTCGGAGGGAGGGAGGTCGTGAAGATGAAACCAGCAGCGTAGGATCTGATCATGTCAACAAATTCCGTGGAACCTGCGATGTAACCGCCAATAGCGCCGTATGCCTTGCCAAGAGTACCTGTAGACGAGCCATTCAATATATGTTGACACGCATTGTGCGTATGCACTGACCAGTGATGATGTCAATACGGTCCATGATCGAGCCGCTGACGGGTTCGCGCCTGTTACCAGCGCGTTTCTGTGCCTCCCAATCGAGATGCTCCGCAACACCAGCACCGTGCGGACCGTAAAGACCGACGGCATGAACCTCATCGAGGAAAGTCAAGGCACCGTACTGCTTCGCGAGGTCACAGATCTCAGCGATAGGCCCGATACTGCCGCACATGGAGTAAACACTTTCGAAGGCGACGATTTTGGGCGTCTCTTTCGGGTACTGCGCCAGCTTGCTCTCAAGGTCCTGGAGGTCGTTGTGCTTGAAGATGACGCGTTTGGCGCCCGAGTGTCGCATTCCCTGAATCATGGAGGCATGGTTCATCACGTCGGAAAAGTACACACAACCAGGGAGCTTGCTCCCGAGGGTGGTGAGCGTAGCATCATTGGCGACATAGCACGACGAAAAGACCAGCGCCGCGTCCTTTCGGTGCAGCGCCGCGAGTTCCTCTTCGAGTGTGAGATGCATCCCGGTGTTCCCCGCGATGTTCCGGGTGCCACCGGCCCCGTGCCCGTAAGTATCCAAGGTACGGCTAAAAACGTCATACGCGTCAATCATCGGGTTAAGACTAGCGAAAAATGAATGAAGGCGTGACTTACTGCATGGTCTCGAGAACGATCGGGTTGTTTCCCATCCCGAGATAGTCGTTTGCGCACCACACCTCGACTTCATCCTTGGGATTACCGGTGTGTGCGATGGGAAACTTGTGTGCGAGACGATTGATATTGGTGAAGTAGCGGTACGAAGCATCCTGATGCTTTTTCTCCAACTCGATCATGTAGAACTTCTCGTAGTCGAAGCCGCCGGTCGAAGCGGCCTCCGTTTCCTTGTCCTTGCTCTGCGGGGGCTGAGCCTGCTTGTCTGCCTGTGCTTGGGCCGCGTGGAACGGGCAGCCCGACGCAGCAGCAGCCTTGGACGTAGAGCGAGCGGCGGCCTTGTCCTTGGCGACCTTAGCGAGGTCTTCAGCCATGCGGGCGGCGGCGAGGGCCTTGGACGCATGGGGACATTTCTCGATATTGGTTCCGGTGGGGACGGGGTACACGCCCTTCTCCTCGTGGATCTGCTTGAATTCAGCGCTGCCCGCGAAGCTCGCGTAGCCAGCGACCATCTGGCTGGAACGGAGCTGGAGGGCAGGGCCCATCACGGGGCACTGGGTCGCGCGCTCTGTGAGACGCGAGAGCGACGGGTAGCGCGAGGAGGACGAGGTGCATAGGGTGCGGAGGGTGGAGGTTTTGCTGCGGCCGAGGAAGGGGCAGGAGGACTTGAACTTTGCGAGAGAGGAGAGCCTATCCATGTTGGCGGGGGAAGGTGAAGCGCGACGATCGTGCGCTGGCTTCCTCTTATGGGCGGAAACTGGGCAACCAATCACACGCCGACCATTTGCAGACGCCCGTCGAACGACCCGTGAGCCCACCATCAGATGCTCGCAATGATGAATTCCTTGTTCGGCCGCAAAAATGCACACGTTTATGGATATTCCGGGTAAAATTAGTGACTCTGCAGTACATGCAGACAGCTCTCCATCACATCCACTGCGAGATCCACCTCTGTCTGCGTGATGTTCAGGCTCGGCACCAGTCGCACCGCATCTTTCCCCGCCGTCAACAGCAGCATGCCTCGCTCCCGCGCCATCGCGACCAGCTTTCCCGGATGGCTCTCGTCCTTGAAGCCCAGCCCCAGGATCAGACCCCTCCCGCGCACTCCCGGCTGCAACACGCTCGGGAACCATTCCGGCAGGCGGTGCAACCGTCCCTGCAAGTACGCGCTCATCTCCGCGACGTTCGCAACGAACAGACGCTCCGACAGACGCGACAGGACGTAGTGACCCAGTGCACATGCAAGAGGTGACCCTCCGAATGTAGTCCCATGGGAACCTGTCATGTCAAATTCGAGATGATGAGACCTGTGCTGACACGATACCGACACTCCGCTCCGAACGTACCAGTTGTCATAGTCTCTGCGACGCTGTCGCGCATGAGGACTGCACCAATAGGAAATCCGTTAGCTAAAGGCTTCGCCATCGTCACGATGTCAGGATGCGCGTCAACCGGCATCCTTGAGTGGGCCCACAATGAACCTGTCCTGTACAGTCCGCACTAGAGAGTCATACCACCGCAGTCAGCGGAGCATTCTTGCGATAGTCGATAGTCACGTCGCACACTTCCTTGCTTCTCCGCTGTGTGCAACGACGCGATTTGCTCACCTGGATCTCGTCATAGATGAGCACGGCACCCACTTGATTACACTTTTTTCTCAGAGCTTGCAGCCACGTTATGTCCGCTGCATGAATCCCACCCTCGCCTTGTATTGGCTCCACGATCACCGCGCATGTTTTCTGAGTGACAAGCCCATCCAGGCCCTCCAATTCGTTCAGCTTGCCGACTCGCACCCCGGGAAGCAGGGGCGCAAACGGCTTTTGGTATTTTGCATTCGTAGTCACGCTCAGCGCACCCATCGACCGCCCGTGGAATCCGCGTTCAAAGCACACGATCTCATACTTGTCGCATGCGGCGTCGTCCCACGGCCTGCCAGTAACCCCAGCCCAGCGCTCCTTGCCCAACTTGCGCGCGACCTTGAGTGCGCCCTCGTTTGCCTCCGTGCCCGAGTTGGAGAAGAACACCTTCGCACCGCTCGTCGTGCCTTCGACCGGGTGTTGCGAGCCTCTCTCCCAGCCGAGCCCGCCCTCCCGCTGGGTGAGCGTCACAAGCAGCTCAGCAAGCCTCCCTCCCCATTGGTTGTGGTAAACATTGCTGCTGTGCATCAGCGTAGACGCCTCGGATGCCATGACCTGTGCACGGCAGTTCGTAACAAATGATCAGCACAAATATGACACGAGCCAGCCCATACCGCGCTCCAGATGCGGAAAGATATCAAACATTCCCGACCCCATGGCATACATGACTCCATACTAACGAGCACCACTCACATTCGCGACACCCAGATCGGCATGGCCAAGCGCGTTCACGGCGATTCCCGCGCTGAAGTCGAGGTACCGCCGGTCCTCCGTATCCCACACATACGCGCCCTTGCCGTGGTCGAGCACAAACGGCGGGCGGGCATAGACCGGGAGAATGTACGCCTCGGAGCGGCTCAGTATGGCCTTGACGCTCCGCGGGACGCTCGCAGGGTCTTCTGGATGCGTCACAGCAGTGTATCGCGTGCAGGGCGCGCTAGGGATTTTGTTCGTTGAGCGAGGCGCAGACTATGTCATTTGGTGCGATCACAATGCATTGTGTCTGTCAGGCTTTAGGCACAGATATGTGCAGCGCGTGGCGTACCTCTGAGAGCGACGACGCGAACCGGACGGTTATCTGCTTGCTCCGGCGGGCGAGCGGATGTCTTGCGCGCAGCACGATACTACGCATTATGTGAAGCTGTACTTAAGCAAACAGCAGCCCACGCAATAGCAGGTCCTAGGTATGGTTAAGAGAGAGAAAGAATTCAGAGCTGGAGTCAAGCCGCCATCCAGGAGTCACCAATGCATCCTCGGCGTTTGCGATCGAACGCGATCGGTAGGGTTTTCCACACGTGATGGAGAGGTATACATGCTTCATCTGAATATGAAATAAAACCCACCTGAAGGTGCATCTACCTATGTAGCCTAACGGCGGCAGTGAAAGTTCGAGTTAAGCGTATCACCGGACTGACTGTCACTTTCCACCCCAGTACACTGGTAGTGTAGGTTCGATTACAGCAAAGTGCATTAATTGTTTAAACTTATTCATTTTGTTCCAGCAAGGTCTCTCTTAGGGTCAATGGCACAAACAGGTTTTCACAGTTGGCTTTCGAGATGGCTTTCATTAGCCTGCCTTTCACGATGCTCAAGGCTATTGCAAAATCTGCTGAAATTGCCACACTGAGTTTGGAACAACCTTTTTAAAAGCTGCTTTTGACTTGACAGAGTTCCAATATATAAAAAGTTCAAGTCAAGTATCCATGATTAGCCTCATCGTTCTGCATTGTGCAACAGACATTTCTGCACGACAGAGTGGAGACAGAAAATACATTCACCAAAGCTAGTAGTAGACAGTGGAAAGACCGGCACACGGTGTGAGAAGAATGAGCACAGCAATAAATGGACTGGCGATCTTCGAAGATCAGGCTTAGTCTCTGCTCCTGCTCCTGCTCCTGCTGCGGCTTGACGAGTCGCTGACAGACATCGACGAGCCAGTCGATGCAGAACGCGCAAGCTCCTGCCTTGGACCCCGTTCTCCACGCGGAGGAGGCGATGGAGAGCGCATCCCACCTCGCTCAACCCGGTCTTCCCGGATGGGCGAACGCGATGCCGGCGTAGACGGCGAACGGCGGCGCTCGCGAAGCACGCGAGGCAGCGGAGACCTCGGGCGCTCTCGCTCGCGAGGCATGTCAGGGCTGCGTGGCGGTTTGGGTGGCGGTGACCCAGATATTCCACGCGCACGGCGCGATGGAGGCTCTACCGAGCCCGAACGACGACGGCGCGGCGGTGAGGGCGAGCGAGACTCGAAACGGCGGCGGACGCGCGCAGGCGGAGGAGACAGCGAGCGGGACGCGGGGCGACGGGCACGCACGTGGGGAGGCGAAGGAGAACGGGAGGGCAACCGACGGCTGCGCGGTGCCGGAGAAGGAGAACGGGAGGACAAACGGCGGCTGCGCGGTGCAGGAGAAGGCGAGCGGGAGACGGGGCGGCGTCGATAGTCATCGCGCTCTCTATCTCGGGTTGGTAGGTCGCGGTGAGGTGGTGGACTCCTGCTTCGTCTGTCGCGAAACTCGCGCTCTCGATCCCTGTCCCGAGATAATGGGGGAGGCGGCATCCTCTCTCTGCGTTTCATCTCCTCTTCACGCTCCTTCCTCCTCCTATCTTCCTCTCTCCTCCGCAGACGGTCCCGCTCCTTCCTCTCTGCCTCCCATTTTTCCTTCTGTGCACGCATCTTCCCCCGCTCCTCTTCCCTCCGCCGCTCTCGTTCCTCCCTTTCCGCCATCCTACTCAACTTCATCTCCTCTTGCTTCTCCCTGTCGAACGCCTCACCCTCAGTGTAGTCGCTCCTTGTACCCAGCGCTCGAGCCATCCGGCTGAGTTCTTCCTTTTTGGCGGCAGCAATGCCATGGGTGTCTGATGGTTTCAGGCTCTTCGCATTCGAGGCTATCGTGTTCATAGTTGCTAGCAGTTTCTGGCGCAGTTCATCCACCTGCTTTTCAATTTCATCCTCCTCCGTGCTGCGAAGTTGATGAGTAAAGGATCCACCAGCTGCGAGCCAGCAATGCAGAGACGTACTCTTGCTCCTCCAGTTCCAACTGCAACTCCAAACATTTCACCTCAACCTTACGCTTTCTTTCGTGTTCAAGAATTTCTGCATCAGGTTCCCTATGTTTCGGCGGCGCCATGTCCCATACATTGGCTCTGTCTGCCGCCGACTGGTACACTCGAAGCGCGGACAGATTGCGGACGACATAACCATTGGTACCACTGGGAGAGGATCAGTCATCGCTGTTCTCGGAACTTTCTTTGCCGGTGTACGCACCTTCCTCGAGGGGTTGTGAGACCGATACCGTTATACATTTTGCACTCGTTCTGTGAGTAGCGTTATGTGAGACCTGAAAGTGGTCGACCGGTGTAGTGGTCGAAGCTGACGAACGCGTCTCGCGCGGAGCAACCTAATATCGCAGGCACGTGGTAGCCACGATGCGGCCGCCACCGACGGAGGCGCCGAAGATTGTGGCCATAGCTCGCGCCTCAAACTGTGTCCTATACTTCTGCTCAGAACAGTAAACTGTATTCGTACGGTAAATTCTATCGTAAAAGAATTCTATCGTAAAAGCAGCAATAAGAATAACCCGTTTCTCTACAATTACTCCTCCTTTTCTAGATCGTCGTAGTCCAGAACTTCACAGTCTAGTATGAGGGGCGCCAGCGGACAAAATTATGTGAGCTTAAGATTTGGACTATTTTGATTAGAATCGGCTCGTTTGTGCTTTCGCGTTGTGGCGTACGCTTTGGCACCTGATGTAAGCGGCTTGCGCTTACAGTTAAGACTTGTGTTTATGACGCGCGTTTGTGCTCAGGCTGCGCCACCAAATATATTCCTTCATTTCCTCTCACCTCCGTGCCTACAAGTGCCCAGGTGTTCACTGCGCAGAGCCCACCTCCTCGATTCCTCTCTCAGTACTTCCCCTCTACCAGCCCAAAATGACATGATAGACCAGGCAGCAGAATGACAGTGGCGGTGGAACATGCACATCAAGGACACTGTGCGTGGTTGAGATCTGGATGTTCTGTAAAATAGAATGGTCTGATGGGATTCTGCTGGCCGCTAGTGTAGTTACACATCCTCCTGAACAATACAGGCATGTTCGCAGTGTCTGCCTCTCCTGCAGCATCCGTGAATGGCCCGGATCCAATGTCGGTCTCTCTCATAGTGCTGGGTGGTGATGCCTCAAAGATGCAGCATCGAGAAACCCCAGGTCATGCACTGTACATGGCTCAGAAACATGAGACAGGGCCGCTTTTGCTCTGCCAGTTGAGCGGCATCACCCGTTTGCGTGTGAAGGGTGCTCTAGCAGGATACATGGCCGACGGAATGGCTCTGAATGGAGATAGTGGTGCAAGCGCGCCTGCGTGACTCATGTGACAGATCGGAACATGCCGAAATGCGTCGTGTCAATCAAAGCATAAGCATAATCAACGACCATAGGCGAATAATCCTTTTTGAGGTGCATATATACACAGAAACGTGCCGAAATCAATGCGCTATCCGATTTTAACACCTAACTAGGTGAGCATAAACTCGTTATCTCGAGCACAATATACTTTTGTCCGCTCGGGCGCGCCAAAGTCTAGGATGACTCGTGCCGAACAGAGGATCCGACTTATACCTCTCATACGCTGGTCTGGCTAGCGACTTTAAGGCTACGCGTTTATCCATTTCAATATCTTCGATGAGTGCCTCTGTGAATTTTCGGTGATTAGGAGCTCCGCGGATAGGAAAGACATGTGAACTAACCTCGTGAGGTGTAATCGAGCTCTGGCCTGATATATCCAAGTACGACTGCCTTCATCTCATGACCATAGAAGTCAGAGCAGAAGTCGTGCATGAGGTGTATCTCCTACGCACTTGTGAGCAACGTTGGCGGGGCGATGAGATGGGAACGTACAGCGGTCATCCTCTCGTTCTTGTAGAAGGGATTCCATCCCAAGCTCATGACCATCGGCATCACCTTCGAGTCCTCTTCAGGTAATATAGTCTTCCCATCCTTCTCCGTAGATATTTGAGCATACCCATAATATACTCCAGTACGAGTCACAGAACTCATGGGAGCTATGGATTCGTCCGGCAGATTCGCTATCGCAGACATTATGCTTTTGTCGAACATAGGTAACCTGAGACAAACCTGTCGGGCAGCCCAGGTCCTTGCCTCCTCTCCCAAAGCCTCGCTGTACTGCTCCGGAGACGTATATTGGAAAGGGAGATGCTGGGACATCGGGGCCCACGATATCAGGCCTCGTCTGCCGGAATGTATTAGTCCTTAGAGGCGCCGGCGGTCGTTCCTCTCTAGAGACGAGCTGAGGAGTAGCCTCTGTCAACATCATCTGGTGAGGGGGGCAGTCTGCGCACTGCAGAGCAGTCTATGGGGGTATCGGTCGGACGGGTATAATGGAAACAGTGCGCAGTGACAGGTGTATTAACGCGTTCGGCGGCGCGCCGGTGCCGCAATCGCACCTTTGCTAGAAACTCCCACCATGTCCTACTTTCCTCCGCAAACGTATGGGCAATATCAAACGCAGTACCCACACTATCCGTCACAGTACCCCGCGCAGGGACAACCTCTCGCAGGCTATCCCGTATATCCGCCTGGGCAGGCGAAGCCGGCCACGCCACCTCCAGAACCACACACCGCACCTGAACTGTCTGCCGTCTCACCTGAGCTCGCTTCCCATGCACTCCAAAGACTTGTCTCTGCTGAATTGCGAGGAAATGGATTCGAAACGGCCGAACCGGCGACATTGATAAGGCTCGAGCTTGAAGTGGCAGCCTGTCCGTCCATTGCTCTTGGTCCTGTGCTCATGAACCCTGACGTCAGGGGCCGTTTTCACAGTTGTGGAGCGACTGTACGAGCGTGCACACGATTACGCGAACCTCGCGAACAGAGCTGGGCCTATTGCGAAGGATCTATTGTTCGCGGCAGAGGAGCGTGGTTTTCAGATGAAGGAGCTTCACCAGTTCGCGAACAAATCAAAGAGTCGGCAGCAGGGTATGTTCTCCCAATCATAAACATTGCTGCGGTACTCATGCTCTTCTTCCCCAGTTGTAGGCCCGTTGAGGCTATTGCCACCGCCGCGGCGTTCTCCCTCGCCGGAATTATTGCCTTCTGACGATGAGAATGCTCCACCAGTCATTCCTGCCACTCTTCGGTCATTACCATGGGGAGAGCGTCAATTCCCTGCGTTGCCTCCTAAGCACACATATCTCAGGACACCGGTGAAACCTTATGCCATTGAAGAGTCGCTGCGCTTGCTTACATTACTTGAAAGGTCGTACCACAAAAGAGAACCGCATTGCCTTCACTGGAGAAGAAGCTGAAGACTGCTGGATTGGTCCAAGAGTCGTTAAAGAACCTGCTGACAGCGACAGAAGATAATACGGGGCAAGAAGATGGAGAGCTGTTGGGTGCGCTCGTGAATTGGGAGGCTACCACCCATCCGCGCAAGCGTTGGAAGCTCAGCGCATGATACTTTGGGGAAAGCCGACTCAATACTGCCTCGTACATATACAACGTGTACATTTATTACATCATGGACTCTTAAACTGTGAAAGGCTGGTTCATGGGGAAGATGGAGGTGAAGATAATTCCGAAGAATCGTATGCAGATTGACTTGCAGCAAGCGATGCCTCTACCGATTCTGCGACGATAGCGGATGCCAGTCGACCCGGCCGCATAGACCTCGTTACTCTCCTGTCGGCGGTTGTTACTGTTGGTGCTACCGCTGGCTTCTTTGGAGTCCTACTTGCACGCGTCCGCGAAGGTGCAGCTCGATTCGAATCATCCGTCTTTTGTTGAGTTTTGGCTGATGTTGTTTTCTTCCTTGTTGGTCCTCTTCCAGCTGAATTATCGGTGGATGTCGTCCCGGGCGGCAAAAGACAGGTGAGGGATTCGGCCGGTCCTCCTGATGCGTTGAGCATGCTGCTGCTATCCCCTGCAACTTCGACCGGCCCTTCTGCGATAGCAGACAATCTGCCCTTCGACGAATCTGCAGGAAGTTTGGCCTCTTGTCTCGTGCGGCCTTCCGGTTCTCGCTGATCCTGAGATGCGTCGTAGCCTTCTTCCGCGGCAGTGGCTGGTTGGCTCGCACTGCCGCTTTCAGCAGCATTGAGCACGACCTGACAATGAACGGAGTTAGATTCTAAAGGAGACCAGTGAAAGGCACACGCACAGAAGTTTGCGAGTTGGTCGTGACCACTTCTGCATCCTTCACTGACTTCTTTCGTCTCTTCCGCGTAGATCTGTCAGCAATCTCGTCAAGAAGTTGTCTTTTCGTTGTTTTACTGGCACGGCTCTTCAACACGGTTGCCGTTGCCGACCCGTCTGCGGACCTTTGTTCGCTCGGCTTCATATCCATAGCTGGCTGACCATCAGCTTGTAAAACGGTTGGCGATGCAGCAGGCACCTCAGCCGGTGTTACGAGATTGGCGTCTACAGAGGTACTATCAGCAACTCCATCCTGACGATATCGTGGTTGCGGCCTTGGCCTTGGCCTTGGGACATTGGTCTCTGAGGCGGTGCTCGGAGGGAAAATTTCACTTGATGGAGTCACTTCGACGTGCTGGAATGAGCGGGGAGTTTGAACTGATAGCGACCTCTCTGTAAAGACACTTGATGCTCGGGATTCCGAACGTGTGGCAGAAGCAGACGCCTCCGCAGTCTTCGGGGTTGTTGTCCCATCGCATTGTTTCCGCTTCATCAGTATAGCATATCGGGACCGACACTGAAGCAGGAGTGAACAGACTATACACGTTTCATGATCGCGCGATGGCCTACCATGTTATCCGTGCGCCCATTGGCAAGAAGCCTGCTTATTGCCTTCCAGCTGAGATCCTTGACCTGCTCCGCCGCTCGTAATAGCGCTTCATCCTCCTCCGGCGTCCATTTCCCTTTACCGCCAGTTGGACCAACGCTCTCTTGATATCGCTCACGACATTGCTCGTTACTGCGACCGGGAATGAAAGAGGCGACGTCTATCCAGGAGTGGCCGAAAACGGTGATACAGCGTTGTAACATAGCATCTTCCTCTTCTGTCCATGGTCCTCGCTTGATGTCCGGGTCCAGGCTACGCGTGTAGCGACTCTGACACTGCGGGGGCGTTGCATCCTCAGATACGTATCGTGCAACTGGCAATGGATGTAGTAAGAAGGGGCTGAGCAGCGTAGAACAAGAGGAAGCCACCTAGGTTCCAGTTATCAACACCGTACATATGAATAGCATGAAGAAGTCGTTCGTCGCTTTCGGGTGTCCATACATGAGTTCTCCTGATCACAGCGTGACGCATGCAGTCGATTGGTGTCCTCCTTGTCTGCCATATGCAATGAGCATCAGAAAATATTTGAGACAAAAACGTTTACGTACACCCAACTTCGCCGCGATGTCAGTCCAATCTACCTGGCCTTCGATTGCGCCGGCAACCAATTCTCTTACTCTCACGATCTCTGATTGCGCCCACGGAGAATGATTAAACCGAGGATGGCGGTCGCCTAACCAACGTATCTCACATTCTTTGGCCGACCTTTGTACGATGGGTGAACCGGCTGCAGAAACCTACATCATCGACCACTATGAGCGTCATTGCTGATACGTGCTGATTCAACTGACCTTACTCGCTACCCTCTCCCAATCTATGCCTCTCATGTTATGTTCAAGAAACCCTGCGGGGACGTCACCTGGACGTGAGAAGGCTTGCTGACCTCTGACCGAAACATGTGAGCCGCATGCATCGTTACAAGACAGGAACATACCTTGTCTGCGCCTCCAAGGCATGTATACGATAATTTTCTGACCGAACGGCATCGGCTATTGCGTCGAGTTCAGAGTTCTTCCCTACAACAGCCGTCAACATAGACTCTTCCGCTATACTCGTAGTACTCACATTGATGAATTGCGGTCAACTCTAGGTATCGTTCACGTCTAGATGCCTCTTCATGAAAAGGGGAGCCCTATGTGTGTATATGAGGTGAATATGAAACATTCTTGAAGCTCCTCGTACCTCTGCAATCAGGTCGCTCGAGGGAATTAGGTCGAGCGTCTTGACTGATCCAGGTATCATGACAATCCCACCAGCATCTAGCTCAAGTTCATCTTCATTGTCAGAGACATCTGCTGCAGCCTATAACTGAATTAGCGCACTCTCCGAAGTGCAGATCACTGTTACGAACTAGTAGTTTATCCAGAGTCTCGATTTCGGCCTCCAACCTTTCGCTATAGACTTTTAAGGCATAGTTATGGTCCTTATTAGCTTGCAAGGCTTTCTGTACACCATCTTGAATCTCTTGTACAGACGTCATAAGGAGGAATATTGACGGATACAATGACCGGCGGCGAAGGGAAACGCGCTCACGCGGTGGCCACGCGCGGTGCACGTGGCCACCGACGCGCACATTGCCATCAATTTGGTCGCGAGACGACATCCGTTTCTCCACCGAGTCTGCACGCACCAAGATGGCGAACGCCTCCGCGAAGCGAACTGGTCTGTCTGCTTGTGTACCCATCACCCGACATCGCGCTCACCAGTGCTGTGTCCTCGAATCAGCCCAGCAGAATGCGGAGACAATCAAGAACATGGAGCGCGGCATGCTGGCTGCGGGTGTGTTCTCCGTGCTCCTCAGACTACTCTTCAGAAAGGGCGCATTGTCCCCTAGTGGTATCTCGTTATGGTTATTGGTCCTCTCCAATATACCGTCTATATTCCTTTCCCGATATTTGAAAAGGATTGGTTCTCCGAGACGCGACCCTACCACTGGCACCCTGATCTCATCCGGTGAAGACCTTGGCCACCCTGGAATCATCGAGTGGGCTTTTGATGTCATATACATCACATGTGAGTTCTGTCTTGTCCGAACGATGTGAAGCTCACGAGCCGATCTAGGGGCATGCCAGATTGGGAGCGGAGCATTTGGAGAATGGTTCTGGTGGTTATACCTGGTGGTAAGCCCAGCTGCTGTGACATGCGCGACTGTTCGTCGTTCCTTGATGTTGCATTTTAGATACCTCTATATGCTGTCTATAAGCTGTGGACGGCCGTGGTGTCCCCGCTGTTGCTAGGACGGTCAGCGCCGACTGCTGCAGACGACAACGCTCCGAAAGAGCCGTCGAGCAAGAGACAGGAGAAATTTCGCAAACGAGCGGAGCGTGGAGATCCCCGTGTCCGTATGCAACCCGCAAAATGATGGTATGCAGATGATATCATGACTGTCATGTACACTACTTGATCTAGACGATTCATGGATAACAAGTTGTGAAGTACAGTTCTCACGGAGTCATCCCTTGCTTTCTGTCCGTGATTGGGATCATTTATGCACGGATGCCACTTGATGACGTCTATTGACCACGATACTTGCCTCAGCCACTCCTTCGCATCTGATCGATGATCCGCTGAGCACCTACATACTCATCCCATATCAATCCGTGAAGAGGTTGAATGACTTCGGGGCTTTCAGGCGATTCGTTGACGACATTGTTACAATTGCCAGACAATTTCGCGCGACATATGAACAGCTCTATATGCGCGATCCTTTCTCGACGCTCGACGTGACTTTAGCAGGGATCCGCACGGATCACTGCCACGGAGGCATAACTGCTCGTCACGGTGACGCGTCCGGCACGTGCTCCGTAACGGTACGCGTCGCGTCTCTCCCCGACTCTCGACCCACTCTCCTTTCTCTCTCTCTCTCGATCGCCGTCATCTTCAATCACACCACGACCACCATGCCATATCCATCACTGATAGTATGTGTTATATCCTGGTATTCTCCCATGTAATGACCGCGACGACGTATAGATATATCCTCCTGCTCCCGTTAAGTCGAATCACAGAACGGAATACGCGCACAACTCCACTGGTTATCCTGGGGTAAAGCACGCTAACTCTTGTTGTTTGAGGTAGTCACTGATCCAGACCTCCTCCTAGGGAGACGATATGGATCATCCGATCTTGACAATCGCGTGTGACACAACAACCGCGCCAGCCGATAGCAATGAAGGATTTCAAGACATGCAGTCGCGAAGTAGAGACGCATATAACGACTCAAAGCAATATTTCGACGCTGAAAATGCCACATCTCCGCTGGATGTGCTGATCGAAGGAGCTACTTTCTCTCGTGACATGTCTTCGGCCGTATCGCTCACTGACTCCGGTAATGCTGAGGTCAAGCTTGAATGTGGCAAAGGCGACTCCATTGAAAACCTTCATTCTGCTGCTACTGGTGCTACTCGTTTTGCATCTTTTTGCACGGTGTGTTTTCCACATAAGTCGTGCGTACAGTGTTTTATGACATCGCATATATGCAGGCACTTCAATTTGAATCGAGCGGGGACAATGACCCGGATCCATCGGATGTTATGCAGTGGCCGTCATCTCGATCAGAAAGTTCAATCAAAATTAAACCCGTCGCTGACGAAAACTCTGTAACGTCCATCGATGCTATCATCAGCTCGGTTGAACATGCACTTGAGATAGACGTCTGCGACCACACCTGTATGCCGATCCAATTATCACCGTATTATGAAAACTGAACCTTGATTGTAGCGCACCTCATTGTAGACACACGCACTGACGGATTGCCGCAAAGTCATTGCTCTGACGGCCGATCGCTGGCTCGTTCAGAATCCTGCGCTGAACCTCCGTCTCTCTCTGTCGAGACTGGCCAGTCTCTTGTTCATCACTCACAAGACACATCTAAATTGTCGGCGGCCATTGACTTCGAGCGCTCGACGAACAGTCCTCCGCCTACTGTGAACGTTGCCAAGTCTGCTGCATTTACTGATTTATCCGACTTTTCGGCTGTCGCAGAACTTGTGTCTGAATCTCCACTATGTTCTCCATGCTCTGTTGATGTTGATATGCCCTCTGCGATGGTTTCATGCTCTAAAACCTCTGACGACTCTGCTACTATATCTGCTGATAACTTGATGCTTGCTACCGCCGTGGATGTCGACGCAGCCGCTACTGCTAATGGCGCGAAGGAAGATCCTCACATCTTCATCTCCACCGTCGCTAGCAATGCTGCTGAATGTGAAGCTTCATCGTTGACCCCACACCTGCTCACTGTTGCTACTGTGGATAGGACTAAAGGCGGTTGTTCTTCTATGAAGCCTGTGGAACCGGCTCGTCCCGCAGCTGGTATGCTTCAATCTGATATCACCGGTTTGTGCATAGAAGATGCACAAGTATCTAATGTACTGGACTCCGGGGACAGCATCGATGATTCTACGTCCAGAATTGCCAACCGCTTGAAGTCTTGTCTGGATGTACATCCGAAGACGGTCATTGAACACATCACATCGACGACATGCCCATCGACAGCTCCTCTCGACCTGGAGGTTACTGATGCCGAAGTGCAAGCTTGTTCAGGCGACGCAGACATCATGATGGCTTTCGACTACAGTGAAACGAGTGCTCTTTCATACTTCGCACCGAACGATACATCTCAGACTGAAACGCTCATGGAACTGGACACTGCACCGCAGTCCTCTGCCGAGCAAATATCACAAGCTGGGATTACTGTCTCTTCATGCCTCATTTCTGGCGTGTCATCGACGTTAGGCCAAGATGAACAACATGCCGAGCTATTTGGGACTTTGGAACCAGCCGAGGAACTTGGGTCACTGCTCCTATCTTCTCCTCTGCTATCTTCCTCGCCTTTGCCGTCGTCAAGCCCCGCAAGGATATTTTCTTCTTCGCCACCTCCCATGTTCGAGAGCTCGCCGCCTTCATCTCCTGCACCCTCCAGCGACTTCGATTGCTTACTAACAGCTCCAGGTGTCGGGTTGAGTAAGGGAGCGGGGTCCAAGCGGTCTTGGGACGACGATGAAGAAATGCATACCGATGTAGGATTTGATTGTTCTCCGGAAAGCTCCGAAAAGCAGTCTCAAACTACAGAGGAGAGTGCGCGTAAACGCACTGTGAGGACATCAGATTCTCTGAATTGACAGCATCTGATCAAAAAAGCCGTCACAGAAACCCGACGTTGAACGCTCGCCGTATAGGCCTCCGAACCCTAAACGCCCCACTCAAGCTTCCCAACGCAAGCAGTACAAGAAGCTCATCGCGCCGTTTCGCTCTCCGCTGCTGGATAAGGACTCGGCGCAGGGTGGAGTTGAAGCTGTCTATGCAAGTGGCAAATATCGCGACACAAAAAGCCAAGAGCGCGATGTTATATTGCGACAGCTGCGTGTCAAAAGCAGTAAGCAAGTGACAAGCCACGAGACTTTGAAGACGGAGAGAAAAGATTATACCCAGAATGCCGCAAAGCAGTTCAAGTCTCCCATTGCGACGGATTCCAGCATGGTTTTGTCGCCCCCATCGCAACCACGAAACGGGCCCGCCATGTCGAACGTACAAGCCATCGCGAAGATATGCAGTTTGCAGGCAAAGCTACAGACGCTGAAGCAAGCCGTCAGAATCAAGAACTCAGCAAATGGGGATGAAGACGAGGAACTGGAGCAATTGGTGTCCAAGTGGACTGCCGTCGGGAGGGAGGTTGCCTGGGCCGTTTGGGACACCGTGAAGGATTTGGACCCGGGAGAAAGCATGCACGTTGGCACTGGATCGTTCGCTGCCGGCTGGGGCTTCGACGAAGGGGCAGGTAGCAGTCGATCAAACCCCTCTGTTACACGTGCATGGGGATGGGAAGAAGACGTGAAGGGACCTGCAAACGGCTCAGGAGGTGGGGAAGATCAAGAGGACTCTCATGCGGTTGACGAGGCGGAAGACGAGACTGACACAGCCCCGAAACATACACTTGGAACTATGCTTCGACACCTCGGGATCGCTCCAGAGACACTAGGATGGGACGAAAACGAAGGCGACTTTGTCGATGATCATTGAACCCCGTTTGATCGTTGAAGTTGATCGTTGCTCTGTGGGTACGATCCCTATCGACCATATTATGCTACGATATTGACGCAGGTCCTAGAGTCGGAGTCCACAAATCTTCTTGGCAGTTTCTGAGATGAATCTGTTCTACTTGCGCGAACATCTGCATCAGAGTCGCTGAGTTTATGCTTCATGTCTAACACCTTCCTCGCACCTCTCCTTCCAATGGATTTGCCTTGGTCGTGATCACAGATCATTCATCTGTGCAGAACACACTTGCTCTGTTTCATTCCATTTTAATGAGTGTAGTCTCATTCGTGTATTGCTCTGTCACATAAATAAACGCTGCTGGTCATCATATAATATGCTCCTGCACTCACAGCCAGAGTAGCAAGTTCACTGCAGCGACGCGATCATGTGACGATGTCGCGTCTGTGGCTGGTAGTGATATGCTGCCGTCAGCCGCTGCTCCTGACTGCCACTTGCATTGGTGTCATCCGCCATAGCCATTGAAAGTCTTGTCCTTCTGCGTGTTCTATATCCCCCACTTTCATGACCATGAGCCCCTTCGCACTGATATCCCCGTCGACTCGGGGGCTGTCTCTCGCCTTGACACGCCACCTGCTTCGGACGACAGACCTCACCGTTTTCGCGACTCACCGCTCAGACAGTCCAGATGCTGTACGGAGAAACATACTCTCACCGCTCCCACATGTCGATGCAAACAGACTGCGCCTTCTGCACTGCGAGCTCACTTCCGAAGACAGCATCGCAGCCGCAGCGCAGGACCTGGCAGATGCCCTGGGAAGTGACGCTGATGGCGGTGCTCATCTGGACACCGCTTTCTTCGCTGGGGGCATCCTTAACCCCGAGCGTCAGCCAGCGGACCTGGACGCGAGTACCGTAGAGAAGACATTCCAGATCAACGTCATCTCACACCTGCTCCTGATCAAGCATTTCTCGCGCTTCCTCCCTCCCCCAAGCTCCACCAGCTCAAAGGCTAAATCATCATCCACCACCAAATGGGTGCACGTCTCTGCCCGAGTGGGCTCGGTCTCGGACAACCGCCTTGGCGGATGGTATTCGTACCGTGCGTCCAAAGCAGCACTCAACCAGGTCATCCGCACGTTCGACCTCTACCTGCAGCAGAAGAAGATACCCGCGATGTGCGTCGGAGTACATCCAGGGACAGTCAAGACTGACTTGAGCCGGGTATTCTGGGACGGGGTGCCGGAGAACAAGCTGTTCGAGCCGGATTTTGCTGCAGAAAGGATTGTCGACGTAGTTCGTGACCTGGACAGCAAGAGCAGAGGAAGAGTGTGGGACTGGGCGGGCAAGGAAGTAGTACCATGACTGAATGCATAATGAGAGCGATGAATCTATACAAGAAGCGTGGCAAACATAGGTCCAAGAACTACAGCTACATAGACAGTGACAGCAAGGAGATACAGCGACAAAGTACGGTTGCTGACAGATACATTATCATGGCAATTCATTTACTGTCCGCCCATCGGCAGCGCGTTAACATTACGTTCAGGGTATCTAGAACGATGACAGTAAACAAAGGAGGAAATGTTGGTAAGGAAAAGCACATACCTAGCTTTAATTCTAGCGGCAAGGTCCTCTTCGTAGATCTGATCAGCGAGGCCCAGTTGGTTCCCTAGTGTCAACCACCTGTACGAGCCCAAAGGTAAGCACTCGAGTCAGAACGAATAAGCAAGGACATACCCAGGCCTGGTATTGTGTTTCCTCCCGAAAATCTCAATCTTCCGCCCGCCGGGACACATTCGCTCTATCATACCGTACACTTCGTCAGGCTTGCGGCTTGTCTCCCGGACCTCGGAGACTATGACATCGGTGTCGAGTCCGCGGTTGGCCCATGAGGGAAATTTGAGGTTGCCTGCCTCGTCCGTGACGGTCTTGACGCCGACGAGCATATGCTCCTTGGTATGATTCAGCCAATGTCCTGTGCGGCCTGTGCGAATGACGCGTTGCAGCTGAGACCGATATAGATGAGTCAACGTGCCACAGTCGTAGACTTTCGTACCAAAGGCCTACCTGGTTCGTCTTAACCCAGACAACCTCATCAACTCGTGTGTAACCCCAGACACGGAGACACTCTCGGCCAACCTCCATAGCCCGCCCCGTTACCCAGAGGAAAAGCAAGCCCTCGTCTTGCAGGGCAGGGATGGGCATCGCACGCATCTCGTCATCCGTCATGGTACCATATGGCAGCTATTATAGCTCAGCGTCAGTGAAGGTAACTTCAGTCGATTGTTTATGCTCTTTCTGTCCCATCGCACGTGCGAAGTTGCAACCCAGAGCAGACAACCGAGCAGTCGAAATGTCAGACAGACTCACACTCATATGAATGTCCCATGGAGGGTCGGCCATGATGACATGGAACTTGCCCAGCACAGAGTAGTCAAACCGCCGCAAGTCGCAATTGATCCATTGCGGAGGCAACTGCCAAAAGCTTCTCAATACCACAGCTAAGCCGAACTTGAATGGACTCACCATGGGTGTTTCTTTGCCAGTCGGCCCCATCCCGATAGGCAACTTATATACTTTCTTCCTCACCTCCACGCGACTCTCAGGCTGCGTCGCACCGTCACTCGCATCCCAGTCTATCTCAAAGTGTAAGTAGCGACAAGGGGCCTTCTCTTTGCCACGCCCGCCAGCACCCAGCCCGCTCGGAAGACTGACAGTGGCGGCACCTTGCGCGCCATAACCCGTCTGGCGGTGAGAGGGCAGAGGTGGTATGGAGGGAGATTGAGCATACGTGGGCTCCGAATAGCATGTGTTGAGGTACGAGCAGTGGCCCAGGGATGGGTCGGTGTGAGGTCGGATGAGAGGGCGGAAGTGTACACGGTCACATATGGTTGCGGGGGCGTCTGCAGCTGCGGGATCTGTAGCGGCGGCAGCTAGACGTCGCGCTTTGGCACACTCGTTCTTCGTAATATGCGGACAGATGGGCTCGAAGCCGCTGTTGACGGAACGGAACTGTACGAAGATGCATTAGCTACATGCCCAAGTCTCGTGCACGACTGACGTACATGCTCGGCCAACAGCCTTCCCTTGGCCGTACTCCGCTGCAGGATATTGTACACCTCCTTCATGTCCTTGCTGAGGCTCGCAAGCGTCGTCGGCGCAGGCTTCATGCGCGCTCGCATCTGCTCCAGCCGCTCGTCCTCCTCCTCCTCCGCATCGCCCGCAGCCGAGTCCGCGTCCTCGTCCACCACACGCTTGCGCTTGCGCCCGTGCCCTAATGCGGCGCTGCTCGCTGCCTCACCCACATTCACCTCCATGACCATGAGCTCGCCGTCGCGCGCCTCCCGAAGTACGGAGATATTGCCATGCTCCCAGGTTTCGGAGAGAGACTCTAAGACTGTCTCGAAACGCGAGAGGTCCGTGAGACGGAACGTGGGAGGAGGACCTGGACCTGGCAGGAGGCCTGCTGGTGGAGGACCCGAGGCGATGACGCGTGTGAGGAGATCAAAGGACGAGATGGGCGTTGTGACCTTGTATGAAGAAAATAAGTTCAGCAGGGCGGAAGAGGCGACCAGCTTCAGTCTATCGTCTGCAGACATCTTGGTCATTGAAAGGGATGCGACTCGCAGCAGCCACTGCGAGGCGCACGCGAGGTAGCGCTCACGTGCCTCTCCCGCGGACTCAACAAAATGCAGAAGTTCGCATTCGGTATGAAAAGAGTGTCAACTAATTGTGCGGCAGGAGGTATTGCAATCAGACAACCCCCTCGCCTTTTACTAGGGGGTTCCGTGTTCTGCCTTCATTCAATGCCGCATTCCGAATTTTTCAGCTCTCAGCTTTGTTCTGAGTTGGGCTTTGCCTTTCTTATTGTTCTTTTTTTCTCATGGTGCTTTCCTGTTTTGATTATAATGTCCCCGCAACGTTCATCTCGCACCGGGCGCGACGATCTCATGAAGACGCTTTGCTACAACTACATTATGCTCCAAATGCCACACTTTGATTAAGTCGATCCTCACGGCACTGCCATACCGGCCTTGACACCTGGACGTGCCAGACCTCTCGCCAACCAGTCCTATACGCGCTCGATATTAGATCCTTTCGCGGTCCAAAACGATACATGGCTTACCTTAAGGTGCGGGAACTCGTCCAAGCTCTCTACCATCGCCCACTTGTGGCCAGCAATCCACGGCATGACATTCATGTCTGCAATGCTGAACTTGCCACGTCCAGGACCAGCCAACCAGTCACGATCTTGGGAGAGGCGGATCTCAAGCACGCCGTAAAGACGCTTCGTCTCATCGATGTAGCCTGCATTCCGAGGTCAATATGAGAAGAGACCATATCCGCAGAGACGACACTCACGCTTCTTGGCGTAAGGAAGGTCTACAGGAGCGTATCTGTTGAAGTGGTTCGACTGGCCTTGCATAGGACCGACACCGCCGTGCTTAAACAAGCCGTTCAGCCGCATGATACGCGTCCGGGCGTTCGCTAACGACTAACCGCGAAGAAGATCCACTGCAGCGTCTCGCTATAGTTGTCAGGATCCTTGATCGGGTCGAAGCCAAACTTGCCCTCCTTGTCATAATGCTGCTGGAGGTAAAGCAGGATCGCCGCGGTCTCAAAGACGACGAAGTTGTTCCTGGAGCGATCGACGAGCACTGGGATACGCCCGTTCGGATTCAGCTTAATGAACCACGGTTCCTTCTGGATGTTCGTGCTGATGTCGATGGGAAAGACGCTGCAGAAGACACGTTCGGTGATAAGTCTCACCGGGAACGCGCTTGAACTCACTCATACTCCGGGCCACCATAGGCTACCTTCAGTTCCTCGAGGAAGACGGAGACCTTGTGACCATTTGGTGTAGCTCCTGTGTAGAGCAGAAAGGGCTTTGTACCGGAGGACATACTGGCTGAATATGCGGATACTACTGACGTGGAATCGCGGGGTGCTGAGCACCGCGTACTACTTGTCCCACTAAATACTTGACTCGTCGAGATTGGTAAGCTGCCACCTTAGTGGCAACAAGATAGAGTGGTGATGTAATGTGGGTGTCTGAGGATGAGCAATCAACGTATCACCAATCGCGTTCGCGGAGTTTCTCTGCTGACAAAGTGCGTGTCAACTCTGTCGGACGGCAACGCATCCATGCAACGTACCTACCTCTATCAACCCGTACTACGAGTGTTCAGGAAGATACATATATACATACCGTGACGTCAGAGCAATGCACCAACTACCATCGCAGCAAGAGCAAGAGTTCTATATTAATAGTAATCAATGCAGATCAATTTTCGCGGAGCCGCGCTGAACGATGGGCTCGCGGAGTTGCCGTTCCCTCCAATGCCAAGTTCGCACTGAGGTATCTCACGCTATATCCTCCTTGCTTCGATTTCCTTTCGCAGCTTAGCCCTTCGCTGGTTTCTCCTTTCTCCGTTTTCTTTCCGAGTCTTAACGACAGTAAAAAAAAATCCGGTTTCAAGGTTGAGGACTCCTGGGCCACCATGATTCTCGCAAGGTCCTTACCCCCCAGCTATGGCAATGTGTTCGCGAATCTCCTTGTGGGATTAGACCTGGCCACTGCCAAGCCTCAGGATCTTATTCCTAAGATCATCGACGAGGAAAATCGTCGTAAGAAAGAGTCCATTGGACGAATCTCCCAGGTCACCCGCAAAGGCCCTTGTGGCAAATGCGGAAAGGCAGGCCATACCACTGAACAACATGTGGATAATTGGCAGCCTAAGGGAAAGAACCAGAGCAATGCTAAAGGGAAGGCGCCTGCTAACAAGCACGGCAAGCGAAAGGGTAAAGGCAAAAAACCTGCCCAGAATCAAGGTAATTTTACTTCTGCTAATTTGCAATCGATTACTGACTCTTCGGATCAGGTGGGGGATCTAACGGTGGGACTTCAAAGTCTGCAGCCACTCCCTCAACCGGGACCGTCATCACAGTCTAAGTCTTCTTTGGACATATCTGTGTCTGTATATAGTCTGCGCCTGGAGCATGTACCTGTACTAGCATCCGTTGAGCAAATATCTATTGATATAGACTTATATAAAATGCATGATCCAGAAAGCAGTTGGCTGATCGATTCAGGGTGCACATCACATGTGACGCCATACTTCACTGATTGTATTGAATATCGTAAATTCCCAACACCTGGTAAAGCAAGACTTGCTGGTGGCAATCACTCAATTGAGATTGAGGGACACGGTATCGTCATGATAGAAGTATATGATCCTACAACAAAGGATCTTAGGACTCTGATACTTCAGAAAGTCCTGATTGTACCCAAGGCAGAAGGCCGCTATTTTAGTCTCAGACAAATCATTGATCAGGGCGGAAAGTATACCGCATCCCGTCACGATATTACATTCCAAAAGGTTAACGGGCATCATATAGTAACATCCAACTATCATGATGAAAGCACTGGTTTCAACTACATACGTGGCAGAGTTCTGCAGAAAGCAACACCCTCATCCGAAGGAGTAATTGCTGCTGTTCAAACACAAGACTTTGCTCTGTGGCACAATCGTCTAGGACATCCAAGCAGGGACACATGTACCAAAGGCAACACAAGGTGTAGCCTTTCAGGCAAAGAACTTACCTAATAATCTTTGTCATGGTTGCTCATTGGGAAAGTTCAGATGATCTCCATTTAAGGAATCAACGTCCAGAGCTTCTAGAGCACTAGAGCTCATCCATTCAGACTTAGTAGAGTTTCCTTCACTATCTCTTGATGGATTCAAATGGGCGGCCACCTTTCTGGATGATTATTCATCGTTCGGAAGGATGTATTTCCTCAAACACAAATCGGATACACTTATGGCTTTCAAGTCATTTGTGACGTGGGCTGAACGTCAGCAAAATAACACTTTTTTGCGGTTCCGATCTGATCGAGGTGGCGAATTCATGTCTAAAGAATTCGATTCCTATATGAGAGAAAAAGGCATTGAGCATCAGACATCTGTGCCAATGACACCACAACAAAATGGGAGAGCAGAACGATGGCAACAAACTATTGTACGACATGCGGAAGCTATGCGTCACCATGCAGGCTTGAGTGATGGCTTCTGGAAGTTAGCAGTCGACACAGCTATTCATGTTGTTAATCGTCTTCCAAGAAAGCATTTGAACTGGAAGACACCAATAGAACTTTGGGAAGGCAAAGTGCCGGATCTTTCATATCTGCGAACATTTGGATGCAAAGCCAACGTAATGGTACAAGAAGAGCAAAGGCATGGGAAGCTACACCCTAAAGCCGTGCCAATGACCTTTGTCGGGTATGAAGCAGGAACCAAAGGATACAGGTTCTGGAATAGCTCATTCCGGTCTGTCGTTATCTCTCGAGATGCTCACTTCGACAAGACCTCTTTCACGTACTGAACAGATTTGCCTGAGCATACTCATTTTGAAGCCAGTTCGGAAGGCCCCTCAAGGGATATTCCAACATCTTCCAATTTATCCAGGACTCCTGAGAAATCGGCTCCTCACTCTAAGGGGGAGACCGCTCCACGAGCTCCTCGTGCTACAGTCGAGACTGAGACAGAAGACTCATCGTCTTCTAGTTCGTCCGATTCTGATGAGGATGACAGTGATCGAATTCCTGCCGCTGCTAAAGGCAAACAAAGAGACACTTCAGGAAACGATCATGCCCCAGAATTCAGTTTTCAACAGGATGACAGCAGCAGTAACATGCCTCAATCTGCACCGCATCCGCCCATGCCCACACAGAGAGTCGCACCAGATGTACAGGTAGACTTACCACATCCAGGATTTCCAGCATATACTGCCGGAAGTAAAAGGAAGGGATCAATATCAGATCACTCCTCTGAGAGGCGTTTCCCACATCCACGGATGCACCCTGAAGATGAACAATATCCACATGTTGTTTATGATAAGGGGGAAAGCCTTCCTATATTTAATCCTACCGTGAACCGACCATATACTGCAGTTCGACGATCTCAGCGACTCTCAAAATATTGACCTAAACCCAACAATGTCTATGGAGACCGACCACCGGTCGAAATTGAAAGAGACCTTGACAACATCATTGATCGTCTTGAAGCCACTACACTCTCTGAAGTAGAAAGGCTTGTCTTAGAAAAGGCACTCTCTTCCATGCATCTCCTAGAACAATTACCAGCAGAATTCATTCTATCTGCGGATCCCGACTATGGTCCTAGCCCTTCCTCCTATAAGCAAGCCATGGCTCGACATGATCGTGATCATTGGCAAGATGCTATGGAAGATGAGATTCAATCTCAAATGGCCAATGGTACCTGGGAACTGGTAGATCTTCCTAAAGGTCGTAAAGCCATTCCATGTCGATGGGTTTATGTGGTCAAACCTGGTGCGCATTATAAAGCACGACTCATCGCCAAAGGCTTTAAGCAGCAAGCCGACATCGATTATGATGAGATTTTCTCTCCAGTTGCACGCTTTGAATCACTACGACTTCTCTTAGTGCATGCAGCTTTACATGATTGGGAGGTAGAAGCCCTTGATGTAAAGACCACCTTCCTCTATGGCGAACTGGAAGAAGAAATTTATATGGAACAACCCGAGGGTTTTGTAGTCCCCGGGATGGAAGATAAGGTCTGCCACCTCAGAAAGGCAATATATGGCTTAAAACAAGCCGGCAGACAATGGAATAAGAAACTACATGCTGCCTTACTGGAGCTTGGCTTCCAACAAGTTGAATCTGATGCTGGCGTTTACATCAATCGCCGACACAAGGGGGAGTCACTCATTTTAATCGTTTATGTCGATGATATACTACCTATGGGAAGTAACATGAAACACATCCAAGCCTTTATCAAAGGGTTATCAAAGCACTTTGAAATCAAACACCTTGGTCCCATTTCCCAATTCCTAGGAATGAGGATTCAACGAGATCGATCCACTCGTATTATCTGCATTGACCAATCAGAATATATACGAGAAACTGTCACGGTTTTACCTGACAAGTCATTAAAAGGAACAAATGCTATTAAAGAAGCATATCATTTTTCATCATTTCTCGTCGCACAAGAAGTCACGT